CCTTCCTTCCTTCCTTCCTTCCTTCCTTCCTTCCTTCCTTCTTCCCTTCCATCCATCCTTCTTTCCATCCTTCCTCCCTCCCTCCCTCCCTCCTCAGTAAGCACCACAAAATGAATGAAAATAAACCTTTGTTTAACTTACAGATGGCTCATTGTTATCCAAGGAGCATTTCACTTGACTTTCACAGCGTACTGGGGTTGCTCTGGGACACTTTGACATTTAGTTTTCCTTGCAGAAACTCATGAAATACCCTCTGCTAGATGGCCTGCTGAAAACTATTCTTGTATGCATCTAGGTTGTTCTTCAAAATATCTTTTTCCATTTATGACCTTCTGTATTTTACTTTTCTCCCATTCCTTTCTCGTTACAAAGGATTTGTTTGCACTTTTCAGAGAACGGCACAGAGCTTCAACTATTTGTAGCATTTGATGTTTGAAATTGTGCTGCGGTTTCTTAGAGTTGGAAAATTAGCTCAGAAAAGAATGGATCCTCTCTGACATAAAAGAGGTTTAATATCAGTGAATATTTAGACTTGGTGCTCAGAAAGTCTTAGCATACTGTAATTTTCTCCTCGCTGTGCTGTAGTTATTGCCAAATATTGCACAAAGAAACACCCAGAGTTCCAATTTTCACTTCCTCTGCTCAACTTTGAAATAATTTTGAACATGAGTGTCAAATTACACACTTGAAGGCAGTGAAGCACAAAATATTAACAGCGGTAGAAGTGCGCATCAGTTGGAACAAACACCTGTAACTGCTGGATGTATAAAGTGGAATGCAATAAATGCAGAATATGGCAGAAACTTGATTTGATTTCCACGTTAAACAACACAAAGATTGCTTTTGGAGCCAAAATACTGTCATGTGATGTAACAGACCTTGACATCCACTCTCCTTCATTGTCTTCCTGGCTCTGCTGCTCTCTTTATGGCAAACTCGTGTCTGTTTTTCAGGCACGGAGTGAAATGAGCCAACAGTAGACAACACTCATTACTTTCTCAGGGACTCAGTTCCTGCCTCGCTGAAAGCTGATTATATAATTACCCATTCTCTCCAAAAGCTGGGATGAGAGAGTCCTGTGCTGATGTGTGAGGAAGAGGGGGAGGATCTGTGTGAGAGTTAATGACAGCAACAAAGGAGTGACTTGGCTTCAACAGAACAGTTAAATATATGGAATCCGGCAAAGAGGCAGCTGGCAGCAAAGGACCAAAGTTAATCGTATTTTATGCCACTGGGTATCTGAGATTGCAGCAAGAATCAAAATAAAAAAAACAAAAACAACGCAGGGACTGCTGAACATACTTTCATTATGTCTTTTAATAAATACCTGAGAGGAGTTATTCTGCCACCTTTGAAACTATGATTGAAACATTATTACGCTTCCAGTGATAAACTAGTTTTGTTATTAGATTGGAAAACAATCACTGCATTTCTTTTTGAATTGTCCAATGAAATTTTAGTGGCTGTTTTGTACATAAATCAGAGGTGTATAAAGAACAAACTTTTACAAATATTTATGGCTTTAGAAATGTTTCACAATGCTGTGACCTAAAATAGTTGTACTCTTGGTATGGGAGTTTAAAAAATTACTTGATTAATGCATCAACTGGTCAGACTTAAAGGGGCAATATTATGTGTTTCTCAGGCATATATTTAAATACTATACCATAATAAAGTATCTATGTCACCTTTAGTTGTTATTAAAATGCTGTTTTTATGTTTAAATAGAAAATAAACTTATCTTCTCATCACTTCCTCTTCTAAACACCTTGAAATTGGCCTCTGTCTCTTTAAGAACCTCCTTCTGCTTCTGTTCCCATTTCGGTGTGTGTGTGTGTGTGGGGTGGGGGGGTCCGCACGCATGGGCTCGTGTGCATGCGCGGGGGGTGTTGCGCGTGTGCTACGATGCAGTTTACTTGACATCTGGAAATACATTTCCTCAAAGGTATTTAGAATCTGAAAAGAGCTTCACTGAGTGAGAAGTAGTGTTGAGAGCTCAGCAGGCAGCTTAAGTTTCACTTTCACTTTGCTTTGTTCTGCCAGAGCCTGCAGGAGTCATGGTGGGGTGTGTGGGAAGGGAGGGGGTGTGCTCTGCCATGAGGAAGTTCAGCTTAAAGACACGTCCCAGAGGTGTTTCTGGTACCAAAAGGTGTTTCAGGTCCCAAAAGGTGTTTCTGGTACCAAAAAGGTGTTTCTGGTACCAAAAGGTGTTTCTGGTCCCCACCTGTCATTTTGCTCCTCAGCATGGCTTCATAAAAACACTGCAGGATTTCTCAAACATGATGAATGAGTCAGAGCAAGGCTTTGGACATGTTTTTATGAGAGGATAACATTATAACATGATATAAAACTCAAAAAGTTGATTTTACATGATATAGCCCCTTTAAAACTGGCTCAGTGGTTTCACATATTTATTAGATGTGCAAGCCTGCAGAGCAGGGGAACGCAGCTGCAACACAGCAGTGTTTCCATGAATACAGCGGAGCATGGAACCCTATTATATCTTTCATTTATTGTTGTTGTTGTTGTTATTAATATTTATTAATATAATTATTATTATTCAGTTGGAAAAACTCATACTGAGGTTTAAGCTGCACACTGCAAAAAATGTCCACCTAACCAAGTTTTAAAATCTTATATCAGCCAAAAAGTCTTTTTGATCTTGTTTTCAGACTGATTTACTAAACAAGAACTGATTGTGTAAGAATAATCATCTTGTTTTCAGAATGTGTAAGATTATTTGTCTTGTTAGTCTGAAAATTTGACTCATTAAGTCAAAATTTGCTGCCAGTGGAGTAAGAACATTTTACTTGGTAAGATTCTTGAAATAAGAAAAAAAAACTGAATCAAATCAAGTCTTTCATTTTAATTTAAAAATTAAAAAAGGAACAAAAAAAAAACCCTCCTCTGGCTCCTCCCGGTGGTCCTTCTGCCCTCTGTTAAAATCTCTCCGACCCGGAGACGAACAGCCAATCAAAAGTGAGGTTTGTCTCATGCACGAGCTGTTCTTGCCCACCCCCGGTCCTTGCCCGCGCAGCGCGCACGCCGCACAGCTGAGCTAGCGCGCTCTCAGTTAAACAGTAAGCTAGCTGAGCTAGCTGAGTGAAGCTGACCCCTCCAACAACCTACACCCTACAACCTGGATTGGAGCCTGTTCTGAAACCCAACACGGGGAAACAGAAGAAGACCCAGGAAGAAATCCAAGTTGAAAAGAGAATTAGATCTAGCCCGAAAAAAAAAAAAAAAGGTGAGTTTCACAGGAGGAAGAGGATGGATGCAGAGTTAACCGTTTCTGCTTGACAAGTTAGTATCTCTGCTTCATTCTTTTATTTTTAATAAAGTTATTAAAAAATAAAAAGCTTATAGAGCTGCTGTAGTACTACACAACAAAGTTAGCGATGGTTACAGAACCACCAGCGACGACATGTTTGTTTTATTATAACACGTTAAATAAATGCTAACGTTAGCAGCTAACTTGTTTAAACTCAGTAAGCT